ATGAAAATGCGAAGACCAATTTTTAAGCGAAAAGTACTTCGTTAATTTGCTGTGCGTTTTCATTCTACAGCCAGTCAATTGTTTTGAACATCCTAGACATAAACGACGCTTGCCAAGAGGCGAATGTTTGTTATATTCTAAGCACATTTTGATCATTATACTATTATTCAATATCGTGCGTAATTCTAAGACTGCTATTAAATTATATTGTACAAATGCTCTATGATTTGATAGATGCCTTAAAATGGTTCTGGTTTACGTTCTTTACCACTTATGGATTTGTTGGTAAGACCTAAGGGAATATGGCTACAACCATCCGTCAAACAGTCAAACTGAAAAATAATAGCTTCAAATAAATTGTATTTTAAATTAAACGACATTTGACGAAATTACGGACTTGAACGAATAACTTCAATCCATTGATAAACGAATCAGTGCGATGCAATCAAGCTGACGCTACAGAACATTGATTACAGTTTAGTTGGCTTTAATGCACTTAATCACCGACATTGAACAAAATATGTAGAAAGCTGTCTTCTTTGAACTAAAACAGAACATTTATATTAGATAAGAATTAATCTGACGAAAGTATGATTAAGTTACAGCTTTACAGGAAGAAAAAGTAAATACCATAGGAAGACAGATACAAATGTATGTAAACAATTACTTCGTTTACAAACCAAAACATTCTGACAGCTATTACTAATGATGATCAATTCAAAATAGAACTATACCAGAACTTTCAAATTTTAAAGTATAAACAAAACAAACATGTATCCATTCTGAACTGTCTTACTAATAAATTTATATGCCCGGCAAAAGATCGTTTTACAAAAAAAAAAAAAAAAAAAAAAAAAAGAAAGAAAAAAAAAAAACAACTGCAAGGTAAATTTAAAAAGGGAAGCTAGATAAATAAAACCCGAAAAGCTAAAACGCTCAAACACATCAACGACAATTGTTTTTGTCCTAACCGTGTAGTCATTTTTCTATCTACATACTAAAAAGTATGTTTTATTTTAAATTGCAGAGAGATGTACTAATATAAATATAAACATACCTGTTATTGCTGCCATCTAACAAAGGAAACCAAGGAACAAGCAACTACAGGTAACCGTATAATAGGTATGTATGATAAATTTTACATAAATTCTACAATAAGTATATGTTCCGTACCATATGAGTATTTGGACCATAAGCGTATGATCATGACCATATGCGTATACCTTTATGGTCCGACCATACGCGTATGATCGAACCATATGAGTATTATACGCGTTTGGTTATTAACGGACAAGACCATACAAGTATTTAAACCACATACGTATTTTTCAAATAAATATTAACTTCCTTCGCAGGAGCACACAGCTCATTCTCTGAACCCAAAACGATACTAGTCACTAACTGAATTCCTTTAGATTTTCATATTGTCTGCATCTTGGTGTATCTGTTATCATGCCTTCGCTAGAATCAATCTAAAGCGTTTTATCTTGTCGACAGTTTCGTTCGTAAGTGAAACCACAGGCGTTTCGGGCCTTGACATTTTTTATTTTGTGTTGAGTTGTTTTTATAGAAACAAAATTTCTTCTCTTCCAATCTCAACTTATTTTTCTCATATTCATACGATTTTTGTATTATTGTAAGATCGTATCAATAGGAACAAGAACACATTAAATAAATAACAACAATTTGACATATTTAAGAAATTTTGATTTAATAAAAACACCAAAGTAAATTTAAAATGAGAAAGCAGTTTTCAATGACCAAAGTTTCTGTGAGTCAAGTTTGACTTCTTGTGAAACAGTCCATTTAGATATTTTTTACAATTATTTTCATAAGTAGACATATTGCGTTTCGTACAAATTTAAGGACAAATCAATAATGACCATGTAAAAATGATTTCAATGTACTTCTAACTTGTAATTAAAATTCATTTTAAAACATTAATCATGTAACAATGATACAATACGATTGAATAAGTAAAAACAAATAATTGTTAGAAACTCTTAATTTATGGGATGACTTTTCATCGTTTTTCGTGTCCATAAACCGGACCATATGCGTATGGGCGAACCAAATGAGTATATACGCATATGATCATGACCATACCGTATGGTCCAAATACGCATATGGTCCTGAACATATATATATAACCCAAAGAGTTGAATACATTTCATAACTTATCGTGACATATAATCAGTACATCATGGTACTTTCCTGACCTTAATTTTTCTATATACTGTATCTTTTTTGTTTCTACACACAACAAATCCATTTCTATATCCATTTCCTTAAACTCAACGCTAATTTCAATATATTATCATGTAAGAAAGATTAGATAGTGATAACTGCTCCGGCTTTATCTGCAATTACCCCATTACATTTTAATATCTAACACTGGTTTACAAAATTAGTGATCTTTTTACGGAATTCTTTTGCTTAATGTTCTTCTCATTTTTTTTTATCTCAAGAAAAATTATATATAAAATAATGTTCTACTTATGTAGCTGTTCAACATTTTTGGATGTTTTGCTTTCTTAAATTTGTTATCGAACGTACCTAATGAAAGTTATTCCCGAAACAAGTGTTATACACATAGTAATTATACATTTCTTTCTTCATAGATTCGGGATGTTTTGCATTTCGTATCATTTTTATACTCTTTTATATATTAAACAGCAAATCCATATGACAATGTGGTGTCCATGGAATCCGTGATGAAATACCATTGGAGTGTAAAACTATAAACAATGATAAGCTCTATATTCAATTAAACTGAAAAAAAACCCTTAAATTGCAACTAAAACACGAGATGGTAATATTGTTAGCTTCTTTTGTAAACATTAACTCTTTCATCGATCATTTGATTTTCCAAAACAGCAAAGTGTAAATGCACTCCTTTTGTTTCCCCGGTACACACACACCGCAGAGATTCATTGATGAACCCAAGAAATGCAAGAGAAGAAAACCAGATCTACTAAAACACAATATTATTTATTAGACATTAACAGTTCAAGAAACATGATTTATATTTAGAAAATAATTCCAGTCAATCGATACTAAGTGACGTTTGAACATTAGCTCTATGTTGAACACCTGACTGGAAATATAAGTTGAACAGCAATACAATCGTTGTTCATTTTTTGTATAATGCATTGCTCCTTTGAATAAACGCAATAAAGTTCGATATTGCATGTTAGTTACGTAAGCGCGTCACTGTTTTTGATATCCTATGATGTCTGTCGTTGATGGAATATGTTCGTTATTGTTCTGCGGTTTGCATGTTGTGTCGACTATTATATTATTTGTTTGTGCGTTTCTCTGTGATGAATGTTCTTACGTGTGTTTGTGCTGTATTTCTGTAACGTAGTATTGTAATTTTAGCGATATTTTTGAAGATTGTCATAAAGCGGGAGATTTGGCTAGCCATTAAATCAGGTTCAACCCACCATCTTTTCTTAAAATGTCCTGTACCAAGTCAGGAATGTGGCAGTTGTTATCAAATAGTTCGTTTCTATGTATGCTGGCGTTTGTTTTTGTTGCACTTCAGTGTTCCTGTTGTTCAATTGTTTTCATCTTATAGTTTATGTGTTTCCCTTGGGTTTAGTTTGTAACACGTATTTGTTTTTCTCTCAATCGATTTATTACCTTTGAAGACCGGTATACTACTGTTGCCTTTATTTATAGACTTTGATAACAAACAAAAAGTAAAATAATATGATTAATCCGAGGTTACCCAATACATTAAAAATAATTGCAGTTAGTATATATAATTTCTGTAATTTCACATTTGAATTTATTTCTGTCTCGTGCGATGAAAGAGAAATGATCAAAACTGCAGATTAAGCTAAGTATATCTTTACTTTTAAACTTTAAAGCAAGTTTTTATTAGAATTTCAAAATCTGAATTATTTGTAAAATTTTCAAAATTATGGAATTTTGAAATTTAAAAACTTTGATAAAAAATCGGAAAAAAAAACTATTCATAAACAAAGGACCAATGATTTTATTGTTATTTCACATTTGAAGGTCACAGTCCTCAACACAATGCTAACAAATAATTCTGCTAAAGATTGAGAATCCTCTAGCGCAAGTTTGAGCAAATCCTGTTGCTTGATAACAATAATCATACATGTGAAATGAAGATCACAAAATACATATTATAAAGGCTTAGGTAAAACAAATACTCTCCGGACTAGCCAAATACCTCGATAAAACTTGTTATGCAGTGATTTCAGAACTACTGTCTTTGTGGTAAGTAAGAAGTGTTCAGATACTCATTCGCAACCTCACCATATATGTTTAAAAACGTTCAATATAAGATCAGCATACAATTGCCTGAATGACCAAAAATTACTATATAATAAGATAGGGTAGAATTTCTCATATTTTAGTCATGATTGCAATCTGCTGATTCTAAGTCTGTTTTTACACACTTTACTATCAACTGCTTATCATCTATTGAACTTTTTTCCACGTCTATGGCGTACCAAATTGTAAACGGGACAAACACAACCATTGAGTTATGGCATTGTTCAACTATACTAACTATAAATCGAAGGCAAACGCTGTGATTGCTGCTTTTATAACGGCGAACGAGTTAAAACTGACTAAGAAAATGATAGAAATTTCCATCTACAAGTAGTCACCTTGCTTCCATCAATCAATATATTAAAAGAAACAGAAAATACATCATTATAATTGGATGGTAATAGTATTTTGTATTACCATGCACTTGCCTCATGCTCGTTTCCTATATACATTTGCCTTTCTGTGCTTCTTTAAACATATTTATCGTTACCTCAGTACTAGAAAGTAATTAAGCTGTTCAGAAATGTATTAACAGTGTATACTATCTATACAAAATGCTTTTATGTCAATATTATTCCATTAATTTGCATCTGTTTATCGCTAGAAACAGGTGAAGTCGTTTAGATAAATTCACAGTTAATTAGATAAAAAGCATTATGTAATTAGTTTAAAGATGTTTAGATAATTAACTTTCAGACCGTCTTACCAATGTGAACTCATGTTTGTGTACTAAGACCACAGTGATCAACACCCTGAAAAATCAATTGACAAATTTGAGGAAAATGCAATGCTATGAAAGTTAAGCGATCGTCTGTTAAAAACTGTATTGTGGCAAAAGAAGATCTCAACATTAGAAATCAAGGTAGGTTAACTTATATAATCATTATGTATTACATACGTTTTATATATAGATTTTTACGCAAATCTATTACTATTTTTTTGTGATTTACTATCAGTTGAACCTGATGTTTTCTCCATATCTTTCGGGGATGGGAAGATTTTAAATTATTTTTGATGTATAGCAATTATTCCAAGTTTAATGATATCAAAACATGTCTTTTTTTTCTTTTTAATGTCGATTAGATGATTTAATAAATATTGAAATCCCTCATATAATCTTGAATTTATACAAATACCACATATTGTGTGATTCGTACCAGATTTTCATAGTATACTGATTGAAAGGCAAACGTACCGCCAACGGCTACACCAACTTCTCCAAGAAAGACATGACAAGGTCTACAGAAAACGTACCGCCAACGGCTACACCAACTTCTCCAAGAAAGACATGACAAGGTCTAAAGAAAACGTACAGACAACGGCTACACCAACTTCTCCAAGAAAGACATGACAAGGTCTACAGAAAACGTACAGCCAACGGCTACACCAACTTCTCCAAGAAAGACATGACAAGGTCTACAGAAAACGTACAGCCAACGGCTACACCAACTTCTCCAAGAAAGACATGACAAGGTCTAAAGAAAACGTACAGACAACGGCTACATCAACTTCTTTAAGAAAGACATGACAAGGTCTACAGAAAACGTACAGCCAACGGCTACAACAACTTCTCCAAGAAAGACATGACAAGGTCTACAGAAAACGTACAGCCAACGGCTACACCAACTTCTCCAAGAAAGACATGACAAGGTCTACAGAAAACGTACAGACAACGACTACACCAACTTCTCCAAGAAAGACATGACAGGGTCTACAGAAAACGTACAGACAACGACTACACCAACTTCTCCAAGAAAGACATGACAAGGTCTACAGAAAACGTACAGACAACGGCTACACCAACTTCTCCAAGAAAGACATGACAAGATCTACAGAAAACGTACAGCCAACGGCTACATCAACTTCTTTAAGAAAGACATGACAAGGTCTACAGAAAACGTACAGCCAACGGCTACATCAACTTCTCCAAGAAAGACATGACAAGGTCTACAGAAAACGTACAGACAACGGCTACACCAACTTTTCGAAGAAAGACATGACAAGGTCTACAGAAAACGTACAGCCAACGGCTACACCAACTTCTCCAAGAAAGACATGACAAGGTCTACAGAAAACGTCCAGCCAACGGCTACACCAACTTCTCCAAGAAAGACATGACAAGGCCTACAGAAAAACACATAGATTAAACAGCCTTATTTGATTCATTCATTAGATGTGTTGAATGCAACTATTTTTTCTCGTTCTCATAGTTTATGTAGTCGTCGTGTGTCGTCTAGAAATTAAATATAAACATGACCAATTATTTGTTTATACAAATGTTGGTATAGACTTTATAATTTTCACCTTCTACTTCATTTGGTCCCTGGCGGAGAGCTGTTTCATTTGCAATCTTACCACATCTTTTTTTATACGAACTATTTTTATGCCCCCTACGATAGTAGAGGGGCATTATGTTTTTTCGGTCTGTGCCTCCGTTCGTTCGTCCGTTCGTTCGTTCGTCCGTCTGTCCCGCTTCAGGTTAAAGTTTTTTGTCAAGGTAGTTTTTGCTGAAGTTGAAGTCCAATCAACTTGAAACTTAGTACACATGTTCCCTATGATATGATCTTTCTAATTTTACTGCCAAATTAGAGTTTTGACCCCTATTTCACGGTCCACTGAACATAGAAAATGATAGTGCGAGTGGGGCATCCGTGTACTATGGACACATTCTTGTTTCTTCTTCTCTGAATTCCTTAAATCACATTTTTTTAATAATGATTTCCTCAAAAAAAATAAGTATAACTTTAACAACTATCACATTTAACATTAAGATAACATACATGTGTAAGGGATATCTCTCTTACGTCTTTCACTCTGTATTTGTGTCTGCTGCGATAGTATAAAGTAAACTAACAAGAATACCGAACTCCAATGAAAATTCAAAACGAGAAGTCCTTTATCAAATTACAAAATCAAAAGCTCAAACACATCAAACGAACGGAAAACAACTGTCATATTCCTGATTTGGTACAGGCATTTCCTTTTATAGAAAATGGTGGATTAAGCCTGGTTTTATAGCTTGCTAAACCTCTCACTTGTATAATTAAGCATTTAGTGTAATTGAGAAGAGACATGCATCTCCGTTGCGTAATCGTTCCGATAAATTAATTTTAGCATTTTTATTGATTGATTGATTGTTGGTTGCTTAACGTCCAGTGGCAAATAGTTCATGCATATACAGGACGAGAACACATTAACAATAAATACAATACAGGTTCTGTAATAGAGGCGTCCGGGACCAAGGTCGGAAAAATTTGGACTGCCACGGGAAATTGGATAGGGACAGAAATTTAGCCTTGTAACAGATCACCTAAGGACCCCTCAAAGAGTTGTTGCAAGGGTTCTTAACGTGCAAAGAGCGTGGCACTCTCTGTACACGAGGCATCGGATTTTACGTTCCCATTCTGACCGGACGTGGCTGCAAATTTGTACATCCCGTACAGCCAAACGAACGCCCCTCTTTAGCAAGGGTTTTACTGCCGGTCGGAGGAAGACCAATGGTGACCATACTTTTATTCCCCAGTCACCCTTGGGGGGGGGGGGGGGTTAGCATTTTTATGTTGCAATACTAATACATATATCATAATCAACAATCATTCTACAATTTTTGATAAAACATTTATTTATCTGATGGTTTCACAAATATCTAAATTATTGTATCAGTTATGATGTTGTGTTATAGCAAATTACCGTTCTGTTCACCATGCGATACTTATTGGGTTTTTGCTATAACTACTTCTAGAGAGGAATTTTATATATTAAAATGTACGATAAAGATGAATATAAATAAGCATCAACGTATTACCTTTTAAAAACTATATGGAACAGTGTATAAAAGGGTTTTTCGTCAACACTCTGCAGTCATCTATACCAGTTTTGACTAATTTGATAAATGTTGATGCACCATTCGTTGATTTATTTGTGTGTAATTTTTCGCCATGTCTATTTGGTACATTGCACTAATCGTTTTTGTTTAAATCGTGAGAGAAACATAATCGTACAGTACACCCTGTGACTACAATACTAGTATTTATCCGTCCTCGAAAGAAAAGTTTCAAATTTTAAAATACTCGGTTCACCTTGCATTTTGAAGTTTGAAAATTTAAATATCGTAACCGAATGCTCTGGTAGAATCCAGATATATATATATATGTAACACTCCCAAACGTGTCTTTCCCCCCAAACGTGTCCGATTCCCCCAAACGTGTCTATTGCCCCCAAACGTGTCCTTCAAATCATAAATCGCCCAAACGTGTCCGATTTCACATCCCCAAACGTGTCCGATAATTGTTATTCGCCAAAACGTGTCCAGATAAAAACGCCACAACGTCTCAAAACTCTTAGCGCCAATATAACTCCGTGAAGTCAAAAACGTTTACGGCAATTATATACGATAAAAGACGTCGAGTTCGGTTGAATTCTTAAAAAATCAAAGTAGCTACCCAAAGAAATCTGGAGGAAAGTTTAGTAATCCGTATCGATAAATGTCCAAGACAAGCTACACTGTGCACAGTCATTTCTGCTTTCATATAAATAGACATCAGGTTAAAAAAGAATCCCACAATAAAAAGTTATTTTTTACTTGCAGCGGAATTTATAATTTTTTATATAAAGTTCAGATAATTTTAATTTCACAATTAAAAATTTAATACATTTCATCTTGTAAATTTTGTTGATGGGAGTTTTTAACGACCTTGACTGGCTATACAGCCATCGCACGGTCCGTAAATTTTCACGGTGCTTCACTGTTAATAAAGTGTTAATTTATTAGCATTAATTTGTTCAACGCAAGTTATTTTTTATTAAGCATAATTGCAAGCTAAATTTGCAACACATAATTAACTATTGAATATTGATTGCTTAATGTCCAGTGGCAAATATGTCATGCGTAATTAGAAAAAAAACATAAACATTGCAATTCATTGGTTTATACGTGTCCGTAATATTAAATGTTGCCCAAACGTGTCCGATTTCATAACCCCCAAAACGTGTCCGATAGTTGTTATTCGCCAAAAAACGTGTCCACTGTTAAACGCCAGAACGTCTCACGTATATTAGCGCTAATACATGTATGTACATGTTAACGGCAATTCCATGATGGGGGACACATTTGATGAAGTGCTTATTTATTAGCATTAGTTTGTTCAACGCCGTTTGTTAATGATTATCATAATTGCAAATTTAATCAGTAACACATAAATTAACTTTTGACTGTAATTGTTTATTGTCCAGTTGCAAGTAATTCATGCATATTTAAAGCGAACATACAAATCATTTTAGTACAGTTGAATTAATCGTTTACCAAGTGAATTATTTTGTACAAATAAAATCTAAGACGATGCATTTTCATAATAATCCTGTGTTATACGGCGGGCTTTTTGCAAAATTGACTTCCCTTTTTTCAACAGTTCTGATATTTTAAAAGCTCTCGGCCAAATCATTAACTGGTTTTCGGGTTTTTTTTAGGTTTCGAGCATCACCAAAGACACACAAACGAGAGACATAACGTCCAGTGCCAAATATTTCATGCATTATTTGAACGACATCATGTTAACAATTAATGATCCCCAAGAATAGAAGTATGAACACCATTGGTCTTCCTCCGGCCGGCAGTAAAACCCTCGCCAAAGTGGGACGTCCGTTAGGCTGTGCGGGATATACAAATTTGCAACCACGTCCGGTCAGAATGGGGACGTTACATCCGATGCCTCGTTTAAAAAGAGTGCCACGCTCTTTGCACGTTAAGAACCCTTGCAACAACTCTTCGAGGGGTCCGTAGATGACCTGTTGCATGGCTAAATTTTTGTCCCAATCCAATATACCCTCATTTCCCGTGGCAGTTTAAATTTCTTCGACCTTCAT